TAAATACAACTTTTCTAAATTAGTATTTTAAACAGGCATTATACCACTCTTCTAAAATACTCTTTAAAATGCCGTGTCTCTCCCTCCTTTGGAGTTCTAGGCCTTGATTTAATCTTCTCATGTTTTTCATTACCAAATACTTACTTCTGCTTCATTTCTTGTTTTTCCAAACGTTCCTGGTGCCACAGCACATTAAGGGTTCCCCTAGCAACACAAAAACACACTTTTCCTCAGAGCTGCATCTCCGTGGTCTAAAGCACTTAAATTATGGCCTCTCAGCTACAGCTTGTTCTGAGTTTAATTAAGAGCATTTTAAAATAATAATGACAAAGTTTAGGGCATTCTTTGATCTGCAGAAAATTGAGCAAGGGGGTCAGATCTTGAGCTTTTTGTGCCCAGATTAGCAATCAAATATTTGCATCCAGACTTTATTTATACATGAAAATGTAATTGGATCCTAGGTTTGGACTTCACATTCAGTTTTATTAAATGCTGTCTGTATTGGGGCTGGCACTATGTGGATACACAAAAGCTTTAGCTGAGGACTACCAAGTGCAATGAAATCTGTTTATACCATTCTGTATTAATTCTCTGTCACAATATTTCAGCTCTCCTGGAGTTTTACATTCCATAAGCAGAAGGATGTGTGTATGCACACACTTCAGTTTGCTCAGGTTTACCCAAGCCTGACTGCAAAGAAACAAAGAGAATGCGTTGACATTCGAGATCTGTTTCACTTGTTCCTAACCCTTTCCAGCAGCACAGCTTGAATGCCTGCACAAAATCCTTCTCAGAGCAGTCATCTCTTTCCCCCTAAATGGAAAAAAATTCCTAAGAAAAATATCTAATTGGAATAATTTACCTTAATTTATTAAAACCACAATGAGAGAATGCAAGTAGGGAAATGTAGTTCTCCTTCATTATGATAAATTCCTGAAAAGTACCTTCTCAAAATATTTTCAGTACAAAAGAAAAGCTCACAGCTTTGATCCTTGAAGCTTTGCTCAAGTTTGTAATGGGAGAACTTCACTGTGCTGGATGGAACTTGCTGAATCCTGGTAGAACACTTACCTTTCATTACTTCCTCATTTTTCCTGGCACATCATACTATTTATTTACAATAATCTATGCATATCCTGCCCTTCCATTAGTTTTGCACCATTAAAGCTTTAGAACTGGATTTGGGAAGTGTCTTCAAGCCAAATTTCAAATCACTGATTTCAAAATGAGGTCTCAAACCCATAAGGTAATAAGCAACAGTTGTTTGTAAAACTTTCCAGGATGGGGAAAAGGCACCAACTATCAGATAGCTATGAACTACTTTCTCCTTTTTTTATCTCCTTAGTCTTCTCCTGTGTTACTAGGCAGTAAAAATTCAAAGCTCTGCATATAAATAGTGTCTGATTAACTCCCAAAGTAAGGCAGATACATTTGCGGTGATCTCATTGTTTGAGGTGGGTAAATGTAGTGGAAAGATAAGTTTTCTTACACAAAAAATATAAAACCTCCCAGTATGGTTAACTTCTATCTTTGGTCCCTGTGTATGGGCAAACCCAGTTCATTCAAGGCCACCAGACAGAAAAAAAAGGTTACTAATTTTACACATTTGGGAGCTTTTTCAAATTTGGAAGAGTTATGTACATGTGAGTGCCTATCCACACAGGTCTGATCCTAGAAAAACACTCCTATTTGTGACCTTTTGACTATCAAGCTTTTTTATTTCCAGGCCCGTGTGCTAAAAGCAAAAGAGCTCTGGGTTTATTCTGGGCAGGTGTGCAGAGGAAATCTGCAAAAGCAAACTCTCACCTTTTCTTGAAATGCTGCTTTATTTACACTGTAGAGTAATTGAATTGATATGGAGCTGCTGCTGAAGGATTTGTGAGGTATGGAAACCTTTGGAAATCTTTTCTGTAAGAATGCTCAGTTCCCTCAGCTAGGAGAGAGATGAAAGATAAGAAACATAAAAGATAAAATTACAAAACTAATTTCTATGAGTTAATGCTAAATGACTTAAAGTTACCACTGACACTTAGAGTTTCTCTTTCTGGTAACATTTACCTTGTGAATACCCCTGCTGTTTCTGCTGTATATGATTTAATTTTAGAATAATCAGTTACGATCAGAGAAACATTTTTCTTTAAAACATTAGATAAAATTTGGTTTTGTTTTACCTTTCTGTAATAGTTTTTCCTATATGAAGTTTTAAGCATAAATGAATGAATTTTGAGAAAATTCATTCATTTTAGTAAAAATATCTTTGAGAACTCTGTCTGGAACATAGGTTTAGGATTAAAGGAGTCAGTAGAAATAACTGAATGTACCTACCCATCTATGACAAATATGACAAATATTACTATTAAGTCCTAAGTCTCTTTCTGTTTACCATTCTTCAGCCTCCCCAGTAAATGTTTTTGTGATGTTCTGTTGCAATTTTCTTAAAAGAGGATGGATGACTCCATTAGAATAACTTCAGAGAAGAATAAACGGAACTTTTTATTGTACTTAAAAATACACAGCAAGTTACCATGGCATGGAGACAGATAAAATAAATGTAGGTTTCTAACATTAATTCCCCAAGTCTGTTCTGGAGGCAAACAGCATTTCCAGTTTGATTCAATTTGTTGTGTATATTTCCCCAAGCTCTCTTTCATTACGCTGCAGGGTGCTTCAAACATTAGGAGAGCAGTGAGGAAAGCTCATCATTCTCACCCCTGTTGGTACTGGCTTTGTAGATGGAGAAGTGATTATACAATCAGGATTCTTTCTTTCAGCCTGTGCTCATCTATACAGCAGTGGGTTGTCAGCTCTGAACATCAGTTCTGCTTTTGCTCTTGCACATTCGAGTCTTTGATGACACCCGAATCTGAGGATGCTTTGAACTGCTACACAAATGCCAAAGCAGGCCACTCCATCTCTAAGAGGATAAACTGAGATAGAACAAAAGTCAAGAAAGTTTCCAAGAGAGGAAGCAAAAAGCTGGCTGTTTATTTCCAGCCAGATGTACTTGTCTCTTTCTCTGTCTGTTTGACTTAGCCCTGGCTCAGCTCTCTCCTTGTTTGGGGTTTGCAAGTATGAATGGGTATTATGACACTCTGTCTCCTAATGGTTCCATGGAAATAATTATGAGGAAAGATATGAGGAAATAATTATGAGAGGTGGATGGAGTTACTCAGCCATTTTGGGTTTTAGCAGATGTCCTGAAATTTCATGCCCAGACAACCCATGGCACACAGTTTAACATTGTCATTTTCTTCATTCATCCTCTTGCATTTCTGGTGTGTGCAAGGGGATTGCAACAAGCAGTTCCCAGCTGGAAAGGAGACATTATATGTGGGTTGCCATTGTGAATAAAGGTTTATGAAAAACAAAATATGCAATCCCAGTTGCTCATTGCAAAAAGAAGGAATGAAAGGCTGTAAAATAAATATTTCAATGAATTAGCACAGAACTTCAAGCTTTCAGTTAGGAGCTCTGCAAGGTACTTGGGAGATAAATGGAAAAGCACTGAACTTAAAACACCAACAGTCTCCTTCTTTACCTCCCTATAATATTCCGAAATAGAAGCAGCTTAACTCAAAAGTAAAGTCCTGGCATACAATTATGGCTGTGTCACATGCCAGGAACTTCCACTGGGGGCTAAAAGGATGAGAACCCCTGCACACACCAGGTGAATTTACACAGCCCCTGTATACCCCTTTCTTCAAAAGCCCTCCCTACCCTGGAAGTATTTTAATTCATGCTTCTCATGCCTCTGTGATGTAAAGAAATCCATTTTGCAGATGAGAAATCGGAGTACTGCATATTCACAGCCTGGTCTCCAGAGTTAGTGCAAGAGTTCAGCCTAATCTGAAGAGAATAAGGCCCATGAATATTCAGGAACTCTGCAAACTGATAGCAAGGAATAATCCTCATGGGCTGACCTGGGAACAGGATGTTGCTCTGGTGATGTGCAGTGCTTTAATCACAATGAATTTCCACTAACCCAAAACGAACCTCAGGCCGTGATCAGGAAAAAAAAAAGGCTCCTTTGTTCAACAGATTTCAAAATTTATTATGTTTATGTTTGACTGAATTATTTATCCATCTCTGGAAACTCAGGGATGACTGAAAAACAGTTCAGTGAACTGAATTTGGTGAACTTTCCATTAAACTCAGGAACATTTGGGTTCTGTTCTCACATTCCAGTTTTCCCCAAAACCGCTTCTTGTCCCTGAAACTGAAATTGTTGAATGACAGGAAGATGAGCTAAAAAGCAGATCTCAAAATTTTTCTTGACAGTGTTGGCAGCAACAGGACCAGCCATAAATGAAGGATGAATTGAAGTGAGAGGAACGAAAAACTTGTTGCCCTTCTCTCTGTGTGGCCCTGCCTCCCTTGGGTGCCATCCCTTCAGGCAATTTAAAAGAGTGAAGTAATGAAATTAGAAGAGTCTTGGCCAATTTCACAAGGAAATAATGTTGTCCACAATGGCTTCAAGTCCTTTTAATGTTTGACACAAAGAAGTGTGTTCTCTATACAGGACTACTTCACACCTGATGAGCTATAGAATGGTTTTCCTGACAAGAATCAGAGCTCAGTTTTACACATTTGAAATGATAATAATAATAATAATAATTAAAAATATCTCACACTGATTGCATTGCAGCAGCATGGAAAATTTGTTTGCTACAGGGAGCAGCTGTACATATTGCTGTATTTTGCACCTTCAGTACAGGTTAGCTGGATAGTATTAAATAGAAGGTATTTTGATGCAAACCTGTGCTGATTTTACTGTGTCGCTGATTCATCAGCTAAAAGAATTTTTTAAAATGTGTTTATTTTTAAAGTTCTCTTATACAGCTTGAGTATATTTGAATAACTCTGAAATAAAACATCTCTGTACACAAAAGGGAGCAAAAATATGCCTAGAGCATACCCAGACTTCATTTACTATGCCTGCAACACAAACTTTTCCTCTGAGCAGAGCTATGTAGCTCCACAGAGTCATGTTAATAGTGTCATTAATCTTCCCTGCAGTAATCTGTACCTCTCAGCTTTTACACATTCAGCACCTGGGGCAGATTTGACCTGACAAGTTTGTCCTTGAATCCTATCATTTACAAAGCCCACATTCAAAAAAACTCTCATGTATTATCAGTGCTGCTGTGTTTTATCAAATAACTGCCACCAGCTCCTGCCTGAAATAGTTCATTTGCAAAGCTGTTACCACCAAACTGTGGAAACCAACCATCAGTCAAGGGCTTGTTTTGGTGCCTTTTTCATAGCGAGAGCAAATGAACTGCAGATGGAGCACTGTTTATACTTTCCCATCATCTCAGAGTGCCGGGAGCTGTCGCTGTGATGTCACTGCAGTTGGGCAGGACACAGAGAAGGCAGCAAGATTGGAAATATTTGTTTATTGGGTTAAGGCTAGTTTGACTTTGCTATATAAAGAACACCAAGGGGCTGGAAATGCAAGGTACATGACCTCGCTTTTTGTGTAGACCTATAGGGGAGACACCACACGGGGGAACAATGTTTGATGCATCTGCTGATCAAATTGAAAATAGAAAGAACTTGTTCTTAGAGTTTATGTAGCTCTGTGTCAGCAGGAACTTCTGGTTGTTTGGGGTGGGGTGCATACCTGAAATCTCTGTCACAGAAATACTGGCCTTTCTGGCTGATTAAGATAAATAGTATAGTCCATTTCCACCCTCAGGTGTCTATCCATCTTTGGAAGTGGTTGTTTACTGACTGGCTTGTGCTGTGCATTAATGTGCAAAGCAACATTAACTGAGAAAACTGATCATAGAGTTTTTTCCTTCCTATAGCCTCATCCATGAATCTGTGCTTGCAGCAGGAACGCTGGAAGTCACACCAGTGACTGAGACAGCCACTGGAAAATCTCATAACAGAGAGCTGCAGAGTGACACAAGCAGTGATAAAGCAAAAAAATCAAGGTTATGGTATCATGAAAGGAATTTTGTCTGCCTGGCCAGAAAACAATTTTCTTTACAGTATTATTTCCTCGTTGTCTAGCCAGTGTTTTGTGCTGCTAATTGTAAAAGCTGCAAACAAAGCATGTGAGCTTACTGTAATATTCTCTATTAGGCAAAGATCTCTCCAGCAACTTCTAAGAAGCTTTTTGTGTAACTCTGCTCTCCTAAGCACAGAGTTAATTTCAGCTAAACGAGTGTCTAGTAGAAATGTGGGAATGAGTTTTTCATATGGCACCCCATGTAGGGAGAACAAATGTCTTTTGTTTTTATTTTATTGATGAATTTCCAAGGCATCTATGCTAAATGATTTTGTTCTGCCTGTAGTGTTTAGTGCTCAGTTTCATTGCTGTCTCTAAGAAAGTGCATTATTATGTGTTTAATGGTCACTTAAGGATCACTTAAAGTTTTTATTACAGTAGGCTTATTAATAGTGCACAGCTTATTTCTGGAGAGGTTCCGTTCCGCTGTTCGTGTTTAACTAATGTTTAAAAAAAATGTGAAATTTTAAAGATGTTGGTAATATCTCTGAATATTTATGTTGGAAGGGATTTCAGGAAGTGATTTAGTCCCATTCCTCTGCTCCAGGCAGGGCTAATGTCGACATTAGAACAGGATGCTCGTGGCCTTTTGCAGTCACATACTCTGTGTCTGTTTCCCAGCCTGCTCAGTGCCTCTCTGTTGAGCCCCAGGGAAATGTGCTCAGTGCAGCCGCTCAGTTCAGCTCCCAGGGAGCCTTCGAAAGGCTTTGGGACCAGAGCTGCTCCCAGGTGCTGTGACCAGTGATTGTGCATCTGCCAGGGTGGGCCCAAAAGCCTTTTTCAGCACACTCGCTTTTCTCCTGCATCTAGCCAGTGCTTAAAGGCAAAGGAAAGGAAATGTTCTGTGTGGTTCCATAGGGAGAAAAAACACTGTGGGATGTAATTTACTGAACTATCAGGAAGGGGCAGGTATAGGAAGATATTTTGGAAGTGAAAACCAATAATGAACTTGCTTTCTATTCACTGATCTAAGGGGGTTTTCTGCTCCTAATTCATCATCCTTTCTGTCACTAATATATTCCTTCCCCGAACAGTTAGGCTTACATTAATTCCTCTGGCTGACAGGAGAATCCTGATTTTCAAGATCACCTAAGTAAATACAGCCTGTATCTTCATCTCTCATATCTTTTTACTTCAGAACTACTTACTGACTTTCCAGACTTGGAGAAAATGTGGATTTTCCCACCCAGTGGGTTTCCCTGGTTCCTCTGAGCTGGAGATGTAAAAAATTAGAAGAGAATGCAGGAAAATGGGATCATAAGAGAAGTCTGTAAGAAATGTTCCCTTCGTGGGGCAATGTTCCATGATAATTGTGATAGCCCTGAGAATCCTCCTGCACTGTGGCCAGGAGGAAACAATGAAATACTCCAAGTCACAGAAAAAAAGAGAGCAGCCACTGTGGTGCAACTACAAACCTGCACAGGGGAGGACTAGCCTGGGTAATTTAAAAGATGTTTTTACCCTTAGGCTAGATTCTAACTTTGGCTAGGCTGGGGTAAATCAGGCATAATTTTACTGACATCAAAGGCCCTGCTCCACAGGATCTAGCTTCATCTCTTGAGGTTGAGGTCAAACCCATTAACTTTTCTAGGCAAGTTCTGCCCAAAATGAATGGGTGGAGCAAGGTCAAGCCTATGATTTTATTATTTTCACTTGGGCACTTGCACAATTTGGCATTCACATCTGGCTTTGTCTTTTAAAGGGCATTTCTTTTGGCATCTGAACTGGCAATTGTCTGTCCACAACTATTCAGCTGCCCAGTTTTGGATGGGGTGAGTATGGGGTAGGCCAGCTTGAGAAATACAGATGCAAAGGGGAATGTAGTAATTTTTAGGATGCTGTAAGAAAACTCTATTGGTTTCTAAGGGTCAAGATTCAGGCTATTATAAAAATGGAGCTCGTTTTTTGCCTGTATCAATTTTCTTTTTGCACGTTAATTTAAAGTTAGTGAGCCATATGCAGAGCAGAGATGGAAGTCCCTTAGTAAATGCCTGTGACCTTATTTTGAACGATCTATAACGTTTTTTATTGTGACAAAATGTAAGTATCAGGCGACTGCTGAGGTGCAGGTCCCAGTTCAGGTGGGTGTGCTTAGCTGCATGTCATTCAGCTGCAAACTTTTATTGTAATTTCAAATTGCTTTGGAAGCAGGGGATTGCTTTAGCTACATGCTACCTTAGACATTTCTAGTAAACAGAAATTTAGCTGCGGTTGCAGTTGCTGCTGTGGCTGTTTAATGCATTCCCATGCAATACCTCGGGAAGGGGCTGATCTGTAAGATGGAATAAACTTTAAAAACACCCTCCTGAAACTGTGCAAAGCCCAGGAGTCAAGATGGGCTGTATTAAACTTTCTCAGCCAGCAGATGGCAATGAGCTGTGGCACTGTGGCTGGGGACACAGGAGGACCACCCACTGCAGAGCCTGTGAATTGCATGGGAGAAAACATATTCCTATGGAGCACGTGCCTTAGGGCCTCTGATGGATCTCAGCAAGCTGGCAGTGACTGCAGTTTTCTCATTCCAGTTGCTGTGAATCAGTTTCCATTCCCTTGGTTGGCTTTTGTCATTTGCCACTTAGCAATGTCATGTTTTAACGCTCTCGGTGTCCTTTGGGTAGCAACCACATTCTGTTATTTCAGCTGTGAGCCTGATAACCTACTGAAGTGGTGATGGATGTTCTAAAGAAAATGGCAATTATCATGTGCAGTTATGCTGAGCTTGAAATCCCCTGGAGCCAGCATAACTTGTTACCAGCAATAAGAAATAAGAGCACTGTGCTCACCTAGAAAAGAGATGGTGATAATTTAAGAATGAGTTCTGAGAGACAAATTTGCTTCTGGCCTATCCTAAGGTTGTAACTTTGTCATAGAAAAGAGGTAAAGTTATTCACTGGGATTTTTTTTCTGTTGAGGCAAGAAAATAATCGTCAAGGACACCAGCAGCAGAGCTGAGCAGAGCTGAGCTGCACTTCTCTCAGTAAGGTCAGCATTAGGAATTCCTCATTTTATGGGATGATCTTGGAACCCTTTATCCATTTGCGGGAAGGCATTCCTCTGTAGGTGTCAGAGTTCAGCCGAGCACTTTCATTAGCAGTGGAATACTACAACAGCACTCAGGGCTTCACAAGTCCTTAACATCTGGGAAGAAACTGCTTCTGAGCGAGCCCCCTGTCATGTTCTTCACTTTGAGATCCCAGCAGGGCAATGTGAGCCAGGAAAACTGACCAATGTGTTCTGCAGGAAGTCTAGTGTTTGGTAGTATGTACTGCAAAGGCCTCCTACAACAATGATACTAGAAATGGAGTTGCTGTAACAAAGCTGAACACCACAGACACAAAGCAGTGGTGTTGCAGGCACTCATGCAAGTTTAACTTCTTCTGTGATGGTGGCAGTCTTTAGCTGGCATTCCTACAGTTTTCTCCCATTTTCTGCTTATTTTTTTTTGTGCAGCTAAAGTATATCTAGCTAAAGCTCTGACTAAAGCATCTTGAGATAATGACACTTGAGCATAATTTCTTGTATGCCCAGGTTCAGCTCCATTCACCATTTTGTAAGAACATAGAATAACAATATACTGCCTTTGGTGAAATGGTGTGATCTAAACAGGTGGAGATGAGAAAACCCCATAGAAAGTTCAGAGAGGGCAGGGAATTAAAAATCCAGGAAAAGACATGGTAACAGTGGAAAGATTGAATTTCGTGTAACATGCAGCACATTGCCTGGCCAAGGTAAACCACACAATAAGTTACTGTATAAACAGAGAATAATGGAGTGTATGATCCTTTAATCTTGAGGTGGCATCAGTGTAGATCTGTTCTAATTACCTTGTCATGCATAGAAGGAGCTCATGTGGTTCCAGCTCCTGAAGAGGCAAGGTAGCTTCTAATTGTTGGAAAACAGATAAAGCTTGTTCTCTGGTTTCACAAGTATGCCTAAAATCCAGCTGTCAGGCCTATTTCTATTTAGCTATGGTTTGGAAGGTGTTTAAGTGGAATGGCAGTTTAATGGAGCATCTGGATCTCATTGCAGGCCTGCTTTTTGTTTTTGTGTTTCTTAATTTATTACTGCACTTTCCAGCTGGGCTTGTAGAGGCACAAAGGAGACGAGACATGGCCCCAAGTCACAAAGCAAATTTGTATTCCAGCTTAAACTTGAAAGTTTCCTTTTGCCTTTTACTTAAAATATTGAATGTTAGACCTTCCAATACTATTTGATGGTATTTTTACTTGTCTCTTGAAGCTTATCTTATGATTAATATATGAGCATTCCTCATTTCGAAAACCATTTTTTAAAGATATTATAGAAGGCTTTAATTTTTTTTCAGCTTTGTTTTGGTCCACTGCTGTATTTTTGTAGGAATAGTTGCTATCTATTTTTTTTATTCAGGAGCATGTCAGGGGTGTGTTTGTGATTTCAGGACTCCCAGAGCTATTCTGTAAAATGTGCTGTATGTTACAGGTAATCAATACTTGACTCTTAATATGGATGAAGAAATAGCAGAACATGCCAGCTATTGACTGCATTATGTTGTTTATCCTGGTTATGAGTCTTCCTGCAGGCTGTTCATCCTCTCACTATCCATTCTCCAGTTATTTCTGACAAACTTTCACTTTGAAAAGAAAAAGGCAAAGGGTTGCAGTCACATCCACGTTCTGATCATTGCCTGCTGTATTTCTCCCTCACAGGACCCAAGTTTGTTGTCCTCCCACTCTGTTAAACTGTGCCAAAATACAGGATGTGATTGAGAAATAATGTATTAGTGCTCTTGTAAGGAAATAAGGAAATCCAAAAGGAAATTCCACTTGTAAGTCTCTTCAGTTCTGTTAAGGCAAACTGTATATCTGGTTGTCTGCTTGGGGGGGAAAACTGAAGCCCAGCCACTTAATTTAAGTTAAAGGTGTGTGTGACCTTGGATGTGCTGGGTGTTTTCTACATAAGTACGTTCTTGCCATTTCTGGTATCTGTGGATCATGTCCTTGGAACTGCTGTGTAATGCAGCCAAATCATTTCCATGGGCGTGAAGTGGAAAGACAAGAAATTGATCCCAGGGTTTAATCCAAATGAGATACACAGTTTTACAAGAGATTAAAGCAGGCTCTTGAGACAGTAAATAGAAATACACCCAGAAGCAGCCGTTTGGGTGTCAGGTCTTTAGATTTATATTCATGCTCACAGATCTAATTACTGCTGGAAATATCTGAACTGGAAATATCTATACCAGCTCCACTCTTCCCTAAAATGCTGCTGATCCAGCAAGTGCTTGTCAAATCTCAAACACTGGCCCAATTTCTTTTTGTTCATGATCCATGCAGAAAAAAGACAGGGGTGATTCCAATTACTTTTTATCACATCGATGAAATGGGAAAATTTCTCGGAGTTTTGTGAACCAAGATGTTACGTAGTGCAATTTACGGCAGCCACATGCATGTTTTGTCAGAGGAGCTGTTCTTCCAGCTGGAACCATTGGAATATTTTCTGCACCCTTTCCTCCTGCCTCACCCTTGAACTGCTCCTGGGGTGAAGTAATGTGGAGGTAAAACCAAAAAACTACAGGAGCATGAAGGAGACTCGTGAGAGCTGTGGGTTTTATCCACTTAATTGATGACAAACTCTGAAAGATGGATGGGACCTAATTGCAGCTGTGATCCATAACCTGTGGTTCTCATACATGCAGCTACAAGCGTGATGGTTCCTTCTCAAATGTCTGCATTTATTCCTGCAGTTCTGAGTATTGCAGTACAATGCCTTCTCAATGTGTAACTTTTCTCTGTTCACTAAAATTCTCATGCCCTCACCACAGATTGACATGTTTCTGACTCACCTGGTAATAAAATAGAGCATTGTCAGGATCTGAAACTCTCCATAGCACTGGGCAGCCATCAGTAAATGCACAAGCTCTCACTTTGGAGAGCTCCTAGGATGCTGTTGGGATGCATGTGAGAAATTCTGGCTGTGTCAGCCAAAAAGGCAGCAGACAAACGCAGAGAGAAGAGCATGCTAACAAGTGCAGGAAAGCAGCAGGCTGCCAAATGAGAGCATGCAGAGCATGGTGCCTTAAAAAGTGCTGGAATTTGTTACTTTATTCTAATTTCCTGTGTTTTGAAGGTTTTTTTGAATCTGTGATGGCACTGGAGACAGTAGTGATGATGAGCTGGAGGGAAACATAGCTTGCGTGCAGTCCTCAATCTCAGAAAATTTTGAAACCTGAATCATTTTCTTCTGGGAAATCTTTTAGTGCCAATTATGTTCCAAAAGAATTTCCGAGGCAGCCTGCCCATCCAATTTCTCTCTTTTCCAGCTTATGAAATAGCAAGCTGATAGCATGCATCTATCCTTTTGACCCTGTGGAGCATAAGGCAGCTGAAAAGCCACCAGGCTGCCCCTGGAAGCTGGGTTATGGATTCTGGCCAAAAGCATGGAAGCTGTAATTGGTGTGGAAGATTTTTCTTCTCTTAATCACGCCTTCATATTTGAACCCTTTCCAGTCTTCCCAAAGAACAAGTCATTAGCCACTCCTTTGGAAGCAGAAAGACTTGAGGCAGCATAGCTTGAGATTTGTTTGACCTTTCAGCTCTGCTTTCCTCTGAGCACAGGATTACTTTTGCTCTGTGCAATTTGGATTATGTAGGGATTCAAACATCTGAGAAAGCGAGGGAAATTATAATTTTTTTTGTCAATTAATGAGACTTTTGGGGAACCTCTCTCTATTGTCTGGTATCTTTTTCAGGAAGTTTGGTGTTATCAGAGTAGTTGCTGAAGTTACTTGCATGAA